ACAAACAGCAAAACTTACCCTATATGTGTAACAGCCTCTCTGTTTTCACATTCAGTAGTCCATATTGCTATCTTATCACCTTTAGCTCTAACATTAACAACAGCTCCACATACATCATCACTGTAGTCATCAAAAGATTCTCCAATAAGGCACAGCAGCTTAAAAAAAAATTAATCCCAAATTAAATAGATTATATACTGCTTATTAAACTGCAAATGTCCCTTATGTATGTGTATACATACAAAACTAAAAAAGTTTCTAAATCAAGTTGACTTCTTGAATGTCTAAATTATATTTATGTTTATAGTTCTTTGTCCTGACTTTTTAAGAATTCACATGTTTCTTTATTTAATAACAAGAACACTAACAGTTGTTTTAACTTTTTCAGCAAATGGGGCAATTGATATCAGGGGACATATAAAAGGCAAATTGTCTTAATATTCATTTGCTCTGCTGCTGCTTATACTTGCCAGCAAACAAATATTAATAGAATGACTGAAGAGTTGTCATTATATTAAAAATAACCAAATAGTTACTCATGGTAAGATTTTCTGCCTCTTGTTCTTGCGGTTTTTCAGAGCCATTTTCTAATTTTTTTTATTGTGGCGAATATATATAAAATTTACCATTTAATAAAGAATTTTTAAAAATTTACCATTTTAACCATTAAAAAATTTGAGTATAGATGACACGTGACATTAAACCGCTTTAACCATTTTTAAGGGAATGGTTCAGTGGTGTAAGTATATTCACAACTATCACAACCATCCATCTCCAGAACTTTTGTCATCTTACAAAACTTTAACGTGGAATTCTAAAATGGTATTTACTGATAATCTCCCCCAAAAGCAAAATTAAGTCTCTCCATTTACCAAAAAAAACCTCCTATTCATTCAAATATTCACTAACTGCTTAATTTAGTAAGTGCTAACTATAAGCAAGACACTGTGTCGAATGCTGAAAATACACAAGAGACTATCATCCTTATTCCTGACAGCTTGGGGTTTAGGACTTCTCACTATACAAAATGTCAATTATTTCTTATTTAATTTACATCTTATAAAGCCAAATTTCCAGATTATATCATAACATAGAAGAAGAATAATACCAAGCTACAATTTCACTGTTTGCTTCACTGATATAAAAAATTTAGTATACAAAGTAATACTCTAACAGGGTTGTAAAAACTTACATCATACAAAATGTGAGGCTCTATAATTTTGAAGTTAATGAAATGACCAGGACGAGCTTACTGTGGAAGGTGAGAGTCAACTGCCAATCACTTTCTATCTGATCTGTAATGTGGTACACGGTTTCACTGTACCAGTATGTAAAATATACAGTATTCACATGATAGAACAAAATTAATTGCCGGCTTAGATTTTACAGGGTGGGCATTCTTATCTTTTCAATTAGGTAATCAATGTAAAATGCAATGCAAAGTAAGTTTTAATATGCCAAAACTACTTTATAATTTTAAAACCTTACTGTCTCTAGCCAAAAGCGATCCAGATCACTTCGTCTCTGCTGTTTGTTCAATGTAATTAACCATCGTCCTCCTCGTTTGTTTTTCTCATCTTCCCACATAGGCTCAATACCATCCTAAAAGGTTAGTAGATAACAATATCAGACAAAATTGTTACTTTAACTGAAGAGATCACTAGAAAGAGCAAGCAACAACTCTGTCAACTTTTTACTTTATTCTCCATAAAAACTTATTGATGTAGTGGGGGGAAAAGCATACAAGAATTAAAGCCAGAAGCATGGGATTGGAGAATTAGAGACTTGACTTAGATACTTCTAGCTATCAAACCTTGGATTTCATTTAATTTGGAGGTTCTTAAACACTGAGTAACAGACAACTTTGAAAAATTACATACATTTCTGTGCCTAAAAAATGTATGTAAAAATTATGCAATTTCAGAGTTAACGAATGCCCCTCCAACCTCCCTACCACTTGACAGAACCCACTTATAAATATCCCAAGGACCAATGCACCCCAAGTTAAGAATTGTTAACAAACTCTGGACTTACTTTGGTCTACTCAAATATATAAAGAGACTAGACTGGATATCAAAGCTCTCTGCAAAAATCAACTACAATGTGTACCCAGAGTCAGACTCTCAATTTCAATTATTTATAGCAATAAGCCAAAATTGGTTAATGCTAAAGTCTAGTAAAACTAATTTAATTATTCTCCAAACCTCAGAAAACCTCAGAGCATTAACTATTCCTAGGTTTCTGACAAGAGTTCTTAATGAATAACTGAATGGTCCAGTCTTAAAATATATGAAATCACCGATTAAACATACCTTAAAAAGTGAGTAGTCACAGCCAGGCATTAAATTACTAGACAACTGGATGTGGTTGTACAGACTAGGTAAAACAAAAGGACAATTATAAACATAAAATATGTAATGCAGAGTTTAGGTGCTCACATATTTAGAGAATATGATAAAAATCAAAAGATAAAAGTTTATGTTTACTCGTTTTTCTACTGAGTCAATTTCTGAACTGGACCAAAGAGATAGCTTAATAATGGTCAGTTCAAGAATCAGCATTTGATGATTTTCAAGGCAATATTTTTAATTTTATTTTGACAAAAGTATATTTTGATGTATTAGTTAACTCAACGTATACATATGTATGTATGAGAATCTGAGACTAGGTGGGATGAGGTGGCTTTAAATACGTGAAACAATTTATGGAGCTATTAACAAGTAGTTTTAAACACATAAGAGGATGCCTGGGTGGCTCAGTCGGTGAAGCGTCCAACCTCGGCTCAGGTCATGATCTCACAGTTTATGAGTTCGAGCCCTGTGTCTGGCTCTGTGCTGACAGCTCAGATTCTCTGTCTCCTTCTCTCTATGCCCCTCCCCCAGTTGTGTTCTGTCTCTCTCTCTCAAAAATAAATGTAAAAAAAATTTTTTTTCAGCACATAAGACAAACCAAGAGAAAGCAAGATACACTTCCCAACTATCAGGACTGCATGACTGAAATAAAATAACACTAATATCCATGAAGGTATCCAAGAGTAAAACAGACCAATGGGTCTCAAATATCGCAATCATTACTAGTCAGTCAGCATAGCAATCGTTTGGGAAGCTTTCAAAACAAAACAACAGTTCCAGGACCTACTCCTTGTGATTTTAATCCCTTAAACATAGGGTAGAGGGGCACCGGAGTGGCTCAGTCGCTTAAGCCTGACTCTTGGTTTCAACTCAGGTTATGATTTCACGGATCATGAGCTCAAGCCCCGCATCTGACTCTGCACTGACAGCAGAGCCTGCTTGGGATTCTCTCTCTCCTTCTCTCTCTGCCCCTTCCCTACTGGCACTCTCTCTCAAAATAAATAAATAAATGTACTCTCTCTCTCTCAAAATATCAATGTAACAGAGTAACACTTGAGATGACTTAGATACTCACTAGCCTGAAGGTAGAAGGCTAAATCATTTGGTCTTCTAAATTTTCTTATAGCAAAATTGTTATAAAATTGGCAGCAGAGTAAGAATGCTTTGCCTGTCTCCAATATCAGATGCAGAAATATGATCTTTACTACATCTGCAGACCATGGACAATGCTGTTATCTTTAGTCAGATTCTCTTGATGCTATTTTAAACAAGTCTAGAAATACTTCAAGTAGTCTTAAGAAAGATTCTGGCATCCTTTGAATCATATTCCACAGGGTAATGTATAAATTCAATTTGGTGGAAGGTAGCATAAGGCTGAATAAGGTTTGTCGAGTTACTCTACTTAACGGTCACTCTTCCCAAACTACATTATCACTGGCAGCTCCCTCTAGGCAACAACAGAGGCCTGGATACTAACAGTAACTATAAAATTAGGACCACTACTTTATAAAATTAATGGAAAGGGTGGAGTAGCTGTCTTCAATGGCATTCAAGGTAGATATGACCAATGCTTCTTTATGTGCCTCCTTTCTCCTTCATGATGCTCTAAGGTCTCTTAGCAAGTTTACAGTAATGAAAATTTGTAATGACACAATCTAAACAGAATCAGAACACTATAGACAAAACTGCATAAATCCCAAAGGGCTCAACAGTTGTTTACCACTACATCTGCCAGAAAAAAATGAGAAATTAAGAAGTGCTTAGATATTCACAGAAAGCTAAAGGATTCCTTCATATGTCTAAATTACACTATAAAAGTCCACTATGCAATGACACTGCTTACACATAACTAAAGTGTGCAGCCATATTCTAAATTAGAGGCCCACTTAGAAACCTAATTATGTACAATGGTGAAAGCTAACCAAACTAAATAAACGCAGCTCTGATTCCATGGGGGAAATGGTTCAAGACTCTTGCTCTTCCTCCTCCATAGGAGACTTGGTTTAGAAGACTCAAATACAATTAAGGGGAAAAAAAATCATCTGATGTTTTGATGAAGGGCAAAATAACCCTAGTTTAACTAGACAACCAGATCTATGAATAACTGGGGATTTAAATATAGTTTCATTACTTAAAAAAAAAAGTCAATGATTGCAATATGAAGTGACCACTCTTAAAGTGCCTACTTGCCTACTTCACAATTTTACAGTTTTCTCTAATTATTCTATGCTTTTTTTCCTCAGTGATTCAAACGTATACTAAATATCTATTATGGGCAAAGCACTGGAAAGATACAAAAGAATATTGTTTCTGTCCTGGAGGAAGTATACATATATGAATCTTCTGACAATCTGTTCTTAGTGTGGGCAAAATATACTCAGGCATACGGTTATGTTAATACAGAAGAGCTGCTCATTGATTCAATACAGATACATGATCTAAAAATATACCAGATGTACAAATTCGAATTTTTAGGTAACTGCTAGTTAATTTACAGCTCTTAAAAATCTTTTTAAACAAGTTTTATCTTTGAAATGGAAATTACTTTCCAAATAAAATTACATACTAAATTAACTTTGTTTTAAAGAATCAATATTATAAAACGTCTTGAAAAGACTTTACAATTTTATACTGAGTCAAGCAAAGGTTTGACCCCCAAATCTGAACTTTTTGCTAAATCTGAAACAAAATCTCAAAGGTATTTCAACTATTCTTCTTGAAGTTGATCAACTAACATCAAAGACACTTGGACAAACCTGAATTTTGAGGACTTCAGTTTTTTAAATCTCAGAATCTTTACTACAGGAAATCCCAGATGTTATACCAAAAAGAATTTGCACAAATGGGAACCTAAAAAAGCTCTGGAGTATAGGACAGATGTATCTAGGCAACCAAGAAAAGGACATGTTCCAACAAACTGTCAAAGTTCTAGAAGCAATAAAGGACTTTCAAAAGAAGAATCTTTTGGGACAAGGAATAAAGAATATACACAGGGCTAAAGGATGAGGAGACTGAAGCTTTCTAAATGATGAGAAATAAACAGTTGTGAGGAGATGGAAAAACAAAAAGGTAGGTCTACAGATGAATATTTATTAACTATTCACCGTCCCTTCATTTTATGAGTGATTTAAAATGAAAAATTACACAATTCATAAAATAAACATTCTAAAATGGTTACTTACGCCCAAAAGTCTTCAACAGTATCAAACTTAGAGATCAGCCGAAGGTTTGCTTGCCAAGTTTTGCTTTTATCATTTTTAAAAAACCAGAGTGCCCATCTACAAGTAAAAAGTCAGCGTTAAAAAAAAATGGTAGTTTTATTACACTCACATTCCTAGCAGCATTCTTCACAATAGCCAAAGGGCGGAAGCAACCCAAATGTTCACTAACAGATGAACAGATAAACAAAATGTGGTATAAACAAACATACAGTAGAATACTTATCAGACTTAAAAAGGAAATTCTGAGAATGAACCTTGAGGACATTAAGTGAAATAAGTCAATCAAAAAAGACAGAACATGATTCTACTTGAATTAGGTACCTAAAGTAATGAAACTCACAGAGGAAGAAAGTAGAATGGCAGGGGCTAGAAGGAAAGGGAATGCACAATTATTTAATGAGTACAGAGTTTTAGTTATGTAAGATGAAAACGGTTAAGATGGTAAATTTTATGGTATGTGTATTCTAACACAATTAAAAATTTGTTTTAAGAATAATTTTAAATGGTAGATTACACTGGCAAAAAATGAGTTTTCTTTCATTTTTAAAGTATGTATTTTATACCTACTTCATAACAGATTCTCTGCTATACTTTACAGACCCATTGAGGCTCATCCCGCAGAGTAATTCACAGAAATGTAGTAGAGAGACAATTACAGTGTGCTAAGTGCTATAACCAAGATATCAAGCAGTTACTCAAGAAAAAAGAGTGGAAGTACTTAACCAGAAAGGAAAAGTAGGGACAAGAAAGCTGGATCTTTAGAGAAATGAAAAGGTATTAGCCAAGAGGGGATAATGGGACTTGTAAAAAAGAGGGGAAACTATTAATAAATTCTGTTTACTCAAACACACCAATAGGAAAATAACAAAATAAAGAGATTCATTGAGTAATGCTACCATAGATATATTCTGAAATAATGTATACTAGTTTCTCCATATCTGTATATACCTGTTAAAAGTTTATTCTAATACCTGGAAGATAAACTCCTGTCATATCAGGTTATAATTAAATATCCCAAGATAACATCTTTAGTACAATTATATTGTCTGAATTACTATACCTGAGGTAACTCAAAGGAGAATTTTATTTTCTCATTGACAAAAATGTTACCAAAAGATAGGTTTCCAAACAGATACATTTATATATATTTCATAACTCCATGATTAATGTTTGGATAATCTGACATAAAAATGAGATGCATTTCAACATCCACTTGATAATTTGAATTTGCCAACCCACTATCAAGGAGGATAAAAAAGAAAAAAGGAAAGGCATAAAAATTATTAAACATAAATGTAAGGTCAAGTACTATACTTTGGTCTTCCAAAATTAATTCAATCTTTCCTCAAAAAATTAAAAATTGAACTACCATATCATCTAGCAATTCTACTTCTGGGTTATTTATCGGAATAAAATGAAAACACTAACTCAAAAAAAATATATGCACTCTCATGTTCATGCAGCATTACTTACAAAGTCAAGATGTGCAAACAACGTCAGCGTCGATCAAAGAACGAATGGATAAAATAAGTGTTGTATGTACGCCATGGATATTTATTCGCCCACCCCCCCCCCCCCAAAAAAGGAAGAAATCTTGTCATTTGCAACACTGAATGGACCTTGAGGGCATTATGCTAACTAAGTGAAACAAAGAAATAAGACAAATGCCATATGATCTCATTTATATGTGGAATCTTAAAAAACAAAAAACCAACCTCAGACACAGAGAACAGACTGGTTGCTAGAAGTAGGGGTAGGGTGAAAAAGGGTGAAAGCAGTCAAAAGGTAACAAACTTCCAGTTATAAAATAAATAACTCCTAACTATGTAACATACAACATGGTGACTACAGTTAACAACAATGTATTATGTGTATGAAAGTTGCTAAGAAACAATAAAAGTTCTCATCACAAGGAAAAAAACTGTAACTCTATCATGGCAGATGCTAAGTACACTTTCTATAGTGATCATTTCACAATATGCATAAATACTGAGTTATGTGCTACACCTGAAACTAATATAATAGGTCAATTATATCTCAATTAAACATGATACCAAAATTGTCTTTTTGTCTTTTTTACTGCACTCAGCCATTAAACATGCAAAAATTTATCCTAATAATTAGATGACTAGGCAAAAACGTTGTACAAGAATGTTCTTAATACTGGAAAATTTGGAAACATCTTGGGGCGCCTGGGTGGCGCAGTCGGTTGGGCGTCCGACTTCAGCCAGGTCACAATCTCGCGGTCCGTGAGTTCGAGCCCCGCGTCGGGCTCTGGGCTGATGGCTCAGAGCCTGGACCATGTTTCTGATTCTGTGTCTCCCTCTCTCTCTGCCCCTCCCACGTTCATGCTCTGTCTCTCTCTGTCCCAAAAAAATAAATAAACGTTAAAAAAAAATTAAAAAAAAAAAATTGGAAACATCTTACGTGCCTTCAACAAGGGATCATTTAAATCAGTTATCAAAATGTGGTTTGCAAGACACTTAGGGGACCCCCAGACCCTTATCAGAAGATGTGATAAGTAAAAACTATTTTCATAATAATGCTAAGGCATTCTTTTACTTTTCACTGTTAACATCTATACTAATGGTACAAAAGCAATGGTGCAGTGAATCTGCTGGTGTCTTACAAAGTTTCATACAGTGAGACCTAACTGTATTAGTAGTCACTATACCCTTTATTATCACCACCTCTCACAGTAACAACGTTTTAGCTAAGAATACAACTGATGAAGCAGTAATTATTGGTTTCATTAAATTTCAATCTGTATACAGTCTTTTTCATACTCTGCAAAAAAATCAAAAACGACAAAAAAACACTTCTGCACACCAAAGAACAATGCTTAAAAAACTGAACTGTGAAATGAATTAGCCACTTTTTTCATGGCACACCACTTTAACCATGACTGACAGACAAACCATGGTTATTTCTTGAAAATGAAGTAGTGAGCCTGATGCTTTACTGTGGGCTTTCAGGAGAAAAATCAGAATTTTGGAAATCCTGCATGTGCCCCTGTTGAGCTTGACAAACTTACTAAAGTTTAGTGAGTTTACTAGTGATATAAATATTACTGTTTTGATACTATATAATGAAAAGTATCAATATCCAGAAGATCTGTATAACTCACTGTTTTCCAAATGACCAGTGATGTTGCAAAATCATGCATGAGTAAAAGATCCATTCCAAATGCAAGACAAACCAATAGATTTCTTTTAACATAACAGAGTAGGAAAAGTTCTTGGAGGGGCACCTGGGTGGCTCAGTCAGTTAAGCGTCCAACTTTGGCTCAGGTCATGATCTTAACCACTCAAGATTGAGTTCAAGCCCGTGTTGGGCTCTGTGCAGACAGCTCAGACCCTAGAGCCTGCTTCAGATTGTCTCCCTCTCTCTCTCTGCACCTCCCTGACTGATGCTCTGTCTCTCTCTCAAAAACAAATAAAATACTGGAAAAGAAAGGAAGAAAGAAAGAAAGAAAGAAAGAAAGAAAGAACGAACAGAAAGAAAAAGAAAGAAAGAAAGAAAGAGAAAGAAAGAAAGAAAGAAAGAAAGAAAGAAAGAAAGAAAGAAAGAAAGAAAGAAAGAAAGAAAGAAAGAAAAAGAAAGAAAGAAAGAAAGGTAGGTAGGTTCTCGGATATGGTTCCAGATTTTACATTGCAGGTGACCTAGAAGAAACCTAGTATCAAAGAATGGCTATCATTAGCTTAAAAGGCTATTAAACACCCTCTTCCATTTTCCAACCATGAATTTGTGTGACTTCACATTTTCTCATACTTAATATAAAACGAGTTATCTCCTCCATAGACTGAATGCAGAAGCAGCTATAAAAATACAACTAACTTCTATTAAGTCAGGCACTTGAAGAGATTTATAAAAATGCAAAGATGCTATACTTCCCATTATATTTTTAAAATATTTTTTCATATAAAATATTTATGTTGGGGTGCCTGAGTAGCTCAGTCGGTTAAGCATCCGACTTCAGCTCAGATCACGATCTCACAGTTCATGAGTTTGAGCCCAGCACAGGGCTCTGCAATGACAGTGTGGAGACTGCTTGAGATTTTCTCTCTTCCTCTGTCTCTGCCCCTTTCTCCCTCCCTCCCTCTCTCTCTCTCAAAATAAATAAATAAAATATAAATACTTATATTAACATACAATGGATTTTCTAAATGAGTATTTAATTTTACATATTCTTGGCTTTTTATAACATAATAAATGGAAATAGATAAAAATCTATATAACCAAAGCTCTGTGAAGTCTTCAATAACTTAAAAAAAATTTTTTTAATGTTTATTTTTGAAAGAGAGACAGAGAGACAGAGAGCAAGCAGGGGAGGGGCAGAGAGAGAGAGAGGGAGAGACAAAACCAAAGCAGGCTCCAAGCTCTGAGCTGTTAGCACAGAGCCCGACAAGGGGCTCAAACCCGCGAACCGTGAGATCATCACCTGAGCCGAAGTCTGGCGCTTAACCTACTGAGCCCACCCCAGAGCCCTTTCAATAACTTTTAAGAGTATAAATAGGTCATGAGACCAAAAAGTTTGAGAACTGCTGACTTAAATAACACATACATACATAAAAGAGACTACCATGCAGTTATTTAATAGAATAATTATGTGGGTAGGGGTGCCTGGGTGGCTCAGTTGGTTGACTGACTCTTGGTTTCAGTGCAGGTCTTGATCTTTCTCAGCTGTGAGAAGAGCCCTGCGTGTTCAGCATGGAGCCTGCTTGGGATTCTCTCTCTCATTCTCTCTCTCTCTCTCTCTCTCTCTCTCTCTCCCCCCCCCTTCTCTCTCCCTCTCCCTCTACCCCTCCCCCACTTGCATGCACATTCTCTCTCAAAACAAATAAATAAAATTTCAAAAAAAGGGGGGGGATAATTATGTGGGTAAAGTTATCCCTAAGACGTTGGACATGAAACCCAGAGCCATGGAGGAAAGGTGATACCGGACTACATATATATCAAAAACCTGTGGGGCGCCTGAGTTAAGAATCATCCAACTCTTGATTTTGGCTCACAGTCATGAAATCATGAGATCAAGTCTCCCACCTGCCAACGCTCCC